ACAACCTCCGCCTCACGGGTTCAAGCGATTCTCCTGCCTCAGCCTCCCGAATAGCTGGGACTACAGGCACGCGTCACCACACCTGGCTAATTTTTATATTTTTAGTAGAGACAAGGTTTTACCGTGTTGGTAAAGCTGATCTCCAACTCCTGACCTCGTGATCCGCCCACCTCGGCCTCCCAAAATGCTGGGATTACAGGTGTGAGCCAGTGCGCCCGGCCAGTTTTTGTACTTTTAGTAGAGATCGGGTATTAGCATGTTGGGCGGGCCAGTCTCAAACTCCTGACCTAAGATGATCCGCCCGCCTCAGCCTCCCCAAGTGCTGGGATTACAGGCCTGAGCCCCAACGCCTGGCTGTCGTCTTTTCACTTTTTTTTTTTTGTTTTTTGAGTTGGAGTCTGGCTCCGTCGCCCAGGCTGAAGTGCAATGGCGCGATCTTGGCTCACTGCAACTTCTGCCTCCTGGGTTCAAGCAGATCTCCCGCCTCGGCCTCCTGAGTACCTAGGATTACAGGCATGTGCCACCACACCTGGCTAATTTTTGTATTTTTAGTAGAGACGAGGTTTCAGCATATTGGCCAGGCTGGTCTCAAACTCCTGACCTCGTGATCCGCCTGCCTTGGCCTCCCGAAGTGCTCAGGGCATTACAGGCGTGAGGCACTGTGCCCAGCTCACTTTCTTGTTGGTATCATTTGCAGCACAAAAATTCTTAATTTTGACGTGGTCAATATTTCTTATTTTGTCACTTGTGCTTTTGGTATCTCTTTCAAATAACCTGCCCCTTTTAGTTTTCTTCATCTCGACTTTATTGTTTCCTTTTTTAAAATTTTCATTTTCTCGTTACTACTTCTTTCTTTAGGTTTACTCTAATAATCTTTGTCTAACTTCTTAAATTGAACATTTAACTTCTTAGTATATTAATTTTTTTTAAGAGGCAGGGTCTTGCTTAGTCACCCAGGTGGGAGTGCAGTGGTGCCATCATAGCTCACTGCAGCCTCAGACTTCTGGGCTCAAGTAATCCTCTCACCTCAGGCTCCAAGTAGCCAGGACCACAGGCTCAAGCCACCATGACTGGCTAAGTTTTGTGGGTTTTGTATGGACAGAGTTTCACTATGTTGCCCAGACAGGTCTCTAATTCCTGGCTTCAAGCAATCCTCCTGCCTCGGCTTCCCAAAGTACTGGGATTACAGGTATAAGCCACTATACCCAGCCTAATTTTTTATTTATAATTATGAAAGTACAATAGATTATTTGACAAAAGTTTATAAATTAATGAAGACTGGACTTAGTAATAGACTGATTTTTTTAAAGCTCTGAGTAATAGAAGTTGAAGGACAGTATTTTTAGTAGAGATGGGGTTTTGCCATGTTGGCCAGGCTGGTCTTGAACTCCTGACCTCAGGTGATCCGCCCACCTCAGCCTCCCAAAGTGCTGAGTTTACAGGCATGAGTCACCCCATGCCTGGCCTTAAGCTTTCTTAAAGTTTTTATTTAATTTTGAACCTGACAAAAGAAGTATATATTTATCATGTACAACATGTTTTGAAATATGTATACATTGTGAAATGGCTAAATTGAGCTAATTAGCATATGCATACCTTACATACGTTTTTTGTGGTGAGAAAAAAACCTCTTAGCAGTTTTGATGAGTACACTACATTGTTATTAACGATAGTCACCATGTTGTACAGTAGATTTCTTGAACTTATTCCTCCTATTTACTTCCTCCAGTGGACACAAAGGAAATTTGGTATCCTTTGACCAACATCTCCCTGAGCTTTTTTTTTTTTTTTTTTGGAGACGGAGTCTTGCTCTGTCGCCCAGGCTGGAGTGCCGTGCCACAATCTCAACTCACTGCAAGCTCCACCTCCTGGGTTCATGCCATTCTCCTGCCTCAGCCTCCCGAGTAGCTCGGCCTACAGGTGCCCGCTACCATGCCCGGCTAATTTTTTGTGTTTTTAGTAGAGACGGGGTTTCACTGTGTTAGCCAGGATGGTCTCAATCTCCTGACCTCATGATCCACCTGCCTCGGCCTCCCAAAGTGCTGGGATTACAGGCATGAGCCACCACGCCCAGTCTCCCTGAGCTTTTTCTTTTGAAATAATTTCAGACTTAAAGAAAAGTTGCAATAATGCAGAGAACTCCCAAATAACCTTAACTCAGACTCACCAGTTCTTCACTGTTGCTATATTATTTCTCTTTCATTTTTTTTTTAACCATTTAGAAGTAGGCTTGAAAGAGTCATTTTGTCTGTAATCTCCTACCTATGTTCCATATCTTCCTGTATTTTTTCCTGTTTCTTTTTAGGGGTGCAGAATGTAGGACGAGACACTTTTTTTCTTAGTTTTAAAATATCTGATTCTAGACGTTTTTAGTATCTCCAGATCCTTGCTTGAGGATATTTACTTCTGTTGTGTTACAGTTTTCTTCTGCTCCTTTGACTTCTAGTCACCTTGGGCTCCCAGGACTCCAGCTCCATCTCCATCTCCTAAATTTATAGAGACTGCCCAGCATCTCCCTATGCGCAGGTGGATTTTTTCCTAGTCTGTCTTTATACAGGGGGTTCAATCCTTTAGATAGGGTCCCAGGTTCCAACCATCACCCCCAAGCCACCCAGGCCTCACTGTCTTCATGGGGGCTATAAACGGGCCCCAGAGCTGTCCTAGCATGTTTCCAGGTGGGAAGCTCTGACTTTCATTTCAGTCTTCATTTTTAGCCCCTGAGGTTTTCCCTCACTCTCTTAGTGCTTAACCATGAATTTTCCTTCTAACATCCTCAGTCCCAGGGTCCACAGCAAGTACGTGTCAAAACAGCTGTTGGAGCCACACAGGAGCCCTCCCATGCCCCGGTGCTTCCTTACATTCTACATAAATGGGAGACCTGTAGGCCTCTTGAGGGAGGCATCATTGTGGGAGCCTTCCAGTAGATTAGAAGGGGAAAACAGTTTTAACGTAGCCAGTGTGCTCATGAACAGAGCATAAGCAGAACACAAGGTTCACATTTACACAAAGCACATTCTTGGCACTATTTCCTTTCTCTCCTGCTGTCACCTCTCTTCTTTCCTTCCCAAGTACATCCTAAGCACCTGTTCTGTATCACGTGCTGGAGATAAAAAGGCACATAAGACGACGTCTCTGACAGCAGAGAGCTCTCCGTGGAATGGAGGGTAACCAGGTAGAAAGGCAAATGTGAGTTGAAATGGTGGGGATATGAATGTTGTGCTATGGGATACAAGAGTAAAGAGAGTAATTTTTTTACAAGTGGGGGAGTTGTCCCCCCCCCCCCATTTTAGAGTTGGAGAAAAAGAGACCCAAGAAGATTCAGTGTTTTCCCTGAGGTCAGAGTGAATCCATTGCAGAGGGAGACAGGACTCTCCAGGTGAGCCTGTGCTATCCACTCCCTCTTTTGTGTGGACCATTCCACATGGACCACACTAAGGCTGGCAATTCCCACACTTGGAAGAGGTTCTGTGATAAGAATTTTAATAATAAAGTGGGGGAGATAGAACCTGAGCAGGGGGAATAAGTGCAGCAAATCACAGAATGGATGTTAAACCAAATGCAGCAGTGACCCCAAATTCCCTAAGAAAACAGTAGGGCCAGGCACAGTGGTTCACGCCTGTAAGGCCTGCACTTTGGGAGGCCAAGGTGGGTGGATTGCTTGACCCCAAGAGTTCAAGACCAGCGTGGGCAACATGGCGCGACACCATCTTTACAAAAAATTAAAATTATCTGGGTATGGTGGTATGTGCCTGTAGTCCCAGCTACTTGGGAGCTGAGGTCGGAGGATCCCTTGAGCCCAGGAAGTCAAGGCTGCAGTGACCTGTGATCGCTTCACTGCACTCCAACCTGGGTGACAGAGTGAGACACTGTCTCAAAAGAAAAAAAGAAAACAAAGAGGAAATGAGAGATTAAGGAAGGCTCCTTGAAGCAGGGAAATGTCTCAGTTAGACCTGGAGGGAATGAAGAGTAGATTTGAAAAAATATTCTTGCAGGTAGAGTCTCAGAATTGAAAATCAGAGGCCAAGCACAGTGGCTTACGCCTGTAATCCTAGCACTTTGGGAGGCCGAGGCGGGTGGATTACGAGGTCAGGAGTTTGAGACCATCCTGGCCAATATGGTGAAACCCCATCTCTAAGAAAAATACAAAAATTAGCTGGGCATGGTGGTGCGTGCCTGTAGTCCCAGCTACTCAGGAGGCTGAGGCAGGAGAATCGTTTGAACCTGGGAGGTGGAGGTTGCAGTGAGTCGAGATCACACCACTGCACTCCAGCCTGGGCAACAGTGCAAGACTTTGTTTCAAAAAAAAGAAGAAGAAGAAGAAAAAGAATTATCAGAATTTCAGAGGTGATCACACTGAGAAACTAACTACTACAGTGTTATTCAAACTTCCCAATGAAACTCTTTAAATAGATGCTTACTGATCCAACCATGGTTAATAGGAGAATGCAAATGAAAACCATGGATACCACTACATCTCCACTAAAATAGCTATAATATTAAAAAATGAACACTACTGCTGGGTGCATTGGCTCATGCCTGTAATCCCAGCGCTTTGGGAGGCTGAGGTGGGCAGATCACCTGAGGTCGGGAGTTTAAGACCAGCCTGACCAACATAGAGAAACCCCATCTCTACTAAAATTACAAAACTAGCCAGGTATGGTGGTGCATGCGTGTAATCCCAGGTACTCGGGAGGCAGAGGCAGGAGAATCGCTTGAATTGAACCCAGGAGGTGGAGGTTGTGGTGAGCTGAGATCGCGCCATTGCACTCCAGCCTGGGCAACAAGAGCAAAACTCCATCTAAAAAAAAAAAAAAGTACAATACCAAGATCTGGTGAGGATTCAAAGCAACTAAACTCACATCGTCAGTGGGATGCACAACTGACTTTGTAAACAGTTTGGCAGTTTCTTAAAATGTAAAACATAAGCTTACCATGTGACCCAGCAATCCCAGTCCTGTTTACCCAAGATAACTGAAAAGTTAGATTCACAAAACAGCCTGTAGTTGATACACAGCTATGGCAGCTTTAATCATAGTTGCCCATACTGAAAATGCCCAAATGCCCTTCCATGGGGGAACGGATAAACAAATGGCTCCGTCCATACAATGGAATGCTACTCGGTGTAAAAAAGCACTCTACACAGGCAATGTGGATGACTCCAATGCATCATGTTCAGTGAAGCCACATGCAAACAGCTGCACACTGTAATCCTGGAAATGGTGAGGCGATGGACAGAAAACAAACCAGTGGTTTCCACAGACTGGAGTTGAGGAGGGGTTGACCACAAGAGTGCACAAAGGAATTCTGGGTGGTGGTGAAGATGTTCAATATCTGGAATGTGGTGGTGGCACAATTGTTTGCTTTTGTCAAAGCCCACAGAACTATACACTAAAAAAATTTTATTGTTTATAAATTATGCTTCAATAAACCTGCCTTTAAAATTTTTTTTTTTATCAGTAATTACAATTTTCAAAAGTGGAGATACTTGGTAGGCCCCTGCTTTCTTGGCCCCTGAGGTCCCTCTCTCTGCTAAACTGTAGAGTTCCTTAGAACCAAAACCAAACTAACTTCCATTTTAATGAAAATGAAATGCAAAAACTGGGGCTCCAAGCAAGGAGGAAACGTCTACCTGCAGTTCCTCTGTGGGTTGGTGGGAGAGGTGGTGGAAGGAATAAGGCTAAGCCCCACCAGCAGGCGCACGTTCTCTGCCTGGAGGCAGATGTATGGGACTGAAAGTGGATATTCTCAGCCACAAGCCTGGGCCTGGATAGGAAACAAAGGATAAGACTGGAAGGATGTCAGGCAGGGTAGACCCAGAGCACCAGCTGGGCTCATTTTTCACACCCTCCATCCATTCGTCATGAGTATCCGGACACAGCACCACACGGTTCAACTCCTGAGCACGGCAGTAGCCTTTACACAGATAGCCTGATTTCCCAGAATGAATTCTCTTGTGTTTACTCCCAGATTTAATGACTTTAAATGACTTTTAGTAGTCATCTGAACTATTTATTTTACTTTGCCAGGAATATTTAGACCTTATTTATCTTTCATTATGCCATCTTCTAATGTAAAGTGAACAGTTGCTAAATTGTCTTCTGCATTTATCACTTTAAAAATGTCTTTCTTGGAAAATCTTTTTGATTTGAATAAAGTATCTTTTAGATCCATCATTTAAAGCAGGTTTCTCTCCAACTTGAGTCTGCTGAGGTGGTGTGAGCTGTGAAGTCTGGCTGAAGGCTTTCCCACACACACTGCAATGACAGGGTTTCCCACCAGTGTGAGTTACCTGATGTTGAATAAGGGCTGAATTTCCACTGAAGGTGTTTCTACATTCTTGACATTTATAGGGCTTTTCCCCAGCATGCATTTTCTGATCTTCCGTGGGTTGTGAGGTGGGACTGAAAGCTTTTCCATATTCATTACATCCAAAGGATTTCTCACCAGTGTGAACTGTCCAGCGCAGAATGAGATTTGCACCATGGCTAAAGGCTCTGCTGTGCTTCTCTCCAGTGGGAATCTGTCCATCTGGTTTAAGGCTAGAGCCATGAACAAAGGCTGGACCACGTTTTCTGCACTTGCGAGTCTCTCCACTGTGAATTTTCTGATGCTGAATGAGGGTTGACCTCCGGCTGAAGGCCTTCCCACAGTCACCACATTCATAGGGCTTCTCTCCAGTGTGAACTCGCTGATGTAGGGTGAGTTGGGAGCTCTGGCTGAAAGCTTTCCCACATTCAACGCATTGGTAGGGCTTCTCCCCAGTGTGAACTCTTCGATGCTGAACAAGAGTGGAACTCCGACGAAAGGCTTTGCCGCACTCATTACAAACATAGGGTTTTTCTCCTGTGTGAATCCTTACATGTTCAGTAAGATGAGAGTTAAAACCAAAGGCTCTACCGCATTCATTACATACATAGGGTTTCTCTCCAGTATGAACCCGATGATGGAGGAAAAGGCTTGAGCTCTGACTGAAGGCCTTCCCACACTGATTGCATTTATGGGGCTTCTCTCCAGTGTGAATTCTCTCATGCTGAATAAGGCTGGAACTTCGACTGAAGGCCTTCCCACAGTGCCTGCATTCATGTGGCTTCTCTCCAGTGTGAATTCTCTGATGCTGAGTTAACTGGGGGCTCTGGCTAAAGCCTCTTCCACATTCATTACACTTGTAGGGTTTCTCTCCTGTGTGAATTATCCGATGTTGAATAAGAGTTGAGCTTCGACTGAAAGCCTTCCCACACTCACCACAGCCAAAGGGTTTTTCTCCAGTGTGAATTCTCCGATGAAGACGGAGGTGAGAATTGAGTCCAAAAGTTTTCCCACATTCATCACATTTAAATGGTTTATTTCCAGTGTGAATGTGATGGTGCAGAACAAGATTTGAGCTGTGAGTAAAGGCTCGTCCACACCGGCCACATTGGTATGGCTTCTCCCCAGTGTGACTTCTCTGATGTCTACTTAGGTCTGAATTATATTTGAAGGTTTTGCTGCATATATCACATTTAAAGACCCTCTCTCCTGTTTTATTTCTTTGAAGTCTAACAACATTTTGGTTCAGATTCAAGTTTCTATCAAATGCACTACCCTCTTGGGGTCTTTCTCCCAAAGATCTTTCCCTACCCATGGTAGCTTCTGTTAAAACTCTCTTGTGAATATTGGGTTTGTTCAAACTCTGCCCGGCAGAATTTCCCAGGTGCTCTTCGAGTTTACCCTCATGGCCCCATGCTTCCCGAAACTCAGCTGCCTGTGCATTATCCCTTAAGAGACTTCTTGATACAAATTCTGGGGTTTTTACTTCTTCGGAAAATTTTTGGTTTAAAATAGATAGTTCCTTCTTGGTCCCAACCTCGGAATCTGTTAAAGAAAAATATGAATGAGTTACTAGAGAAAACCTTCCATCGGGGATGATGTCCACGATGTGGTAGAAGCTCCTACAAACTGTCATGCAGAAGGCAGTGCTCTCACAGGAAAACGTGTGAAAGTAAAGATGGGATGGCCAATCAACAGGATAAAAATATTCAAGTTCATTAGTTATCAAAGTAGTCAAATCAAAACAAATTATGATTTTTCACCTATCAAATTGGCAAATTATTCAACAAATATTTAGAAAGCCAGGCATGTTCTAGGTAAGGAATATACAGGAAGATAAATATAGTCTCTGATCTCATGAAGTTTATGTTCTACTCTAGATAGCAAGTAAGTTCTTAAAAATAATGATACACCATGTGACAGAAATTGTGTAAATGTGTTATTGACCCTAACCTAGTCTACATGGTCAGAGAAAATGCCAGGGGTGAGGTTCAAGCTGAAGCCTGACAAAGGAAATAAGTTAGCAGTGGCAGACAGGAAGGCCTGGGCCTGGTTGTGTTGCACAAAAATATCAATCAAGTTCCTGATTTAAAGAATTTGGGCCAGGGCCAGGCGCGGTGTCTCACGCCTGTAATCCCAGCACTTTGGGAGGCCGAGGCCGGTGGATCACGAGGTCAGGAGATCGAGATCATCCTGGGTAATACAGTGAAACCCTGTCTCTACTAAAAACACAAAAAAATTAGCTGGGCATGGTGGCGGTGGCTTGTAATCCCAGCTGCTCGGGAGGCTGAGGCAGGAGAATGGCATGAACCCGGGAGGTGGAGCTTGCAGTGAGCTGAGATCGCGCCACTGCACTCCAGCCTGGGGGACAGAGTGAGACTCCGTCCCGCCCCCCAAAAAAAAAAAAATCTGGGTGGATGTGGTGGCTCACACCTGTAATCCCAGTTGGGGATTACAGACCTCCTCAAGCAGGAGGACTGCTTGAGGCCAGGAGTTCAAGACCAGCCAGGGCAACATAAGGAGACCCCATCTCTACAAAAGTAAATTTGTTTTTTTAAATTAGCTGGGTGCAGTGATGCACCTCTATGGTCCCAGCTATTCAGAAGACTGAGGTGTAAGGATTGCTTGAGCCTGGGAGGTCACAGCTGTGGTGAGCCATGATGGTGCCACTGTACTCCAGTATGGGCAACAGAATGAGACCCTGTCTAAAGAAAAAAAAAATTAAAGAATTTCACTGCTGAGTGCACTGGCTCACACCTGTAATTCCAGCATTTTGGGAGCCTGAGGCCAGGAGTTCGAGACTGCAGTGAGCTAGGGTCAAGCCACTGCTCTCCAGCCTGGGTGGCAGAGTGAAACTCTTGTCTCTCTTTTTTTTTTTTAATCCCACCATGGCTAGAGCAAGAAGTATGAGGGGAGAGTGGGGCAAGATGGGGCAGGGTAAAGACACAAGAAGCACTGCAAAGAGGTTGAGAAATTTGGACTTTATGATAAAGACTTAAAAAAAAATAATGCTGAGCACTGGTAAGAATTAAAGCAACAATCAGCAGGGCGCAGTGGCTCACGCCTATAATCCCAGCACTTTGGGAGGCCGAGGTGGGCGGATCATGAGGTCAGGAGATTGAGACCATCCTGGCTAACACGGCGAAACCCTGTCTCTACTAAAAATACAAAAAAAAAAAAAAAAAAAAAAAATTAGCCAGGCGTGGTGGCGGGCGCCTGTAGTTCCAGCTACTTGGGAGGCTGAGGCAGGAGAATGGCGTGAATCCGGGAGGTAGAGCTTGCAGTGAGCCGAGATCATGCCACTGCGCTCCAGCCTGCGTGACACAGCAAGACTCCGTCTCAAAAAAAAAAAAAAGAATTAAAGCAACAATCATGCCATGTACTGTTGGTGGGACTGTAAATAAATGACTTTTTTTTGAGATAGGCTCTTGCTCTGTTGCCCAGGCTGGAGTGCCATGGTGCAACCACGGTTCACTGCAGCCTTGACCTCCCAGGCTCAAGCAATCTTCCTGCCTCAGCCTCCCATGTAGCTGGGACTACAGGCACAAGCCACTGTGCCTGGCCAAAATACAACTTTTTTTAAAAGCTGACAATATGTAGCCAAAAAAATTGATATATCACACACCCTTTGTCCCCCAAACTGCTCCCCTAGGATTTATCCTAAGTGGACTGCCGTATGTACATGGAAATGAGTACAATGATGCTCACTGCATTTTGTAATTGTGGGGAAACAAGGAAGAACTAAATTTCCAAAAATGGGGTTGTTTAAACCCAGTAAAGACTATTCACATAATGGAATACCATTCTACCACTATTATAATAGAAAGATATATAATTAAATGAAAAGCTTATATTACAAAGTGAAGAATCAGGTTCTAAAATTATATGCACAGTGGCCGGGCGCGGTGGCTCAAGCCTGTAATCCCAGCACTTTGGGAGGCCGAGACGGGCGGATCACGAGGTCAGGAGATCGAGACCATCCTGGCTAACACAGTGAAACCCCGTCTCTACTAAAAATACAAGAAAAAATTAGCCGGGCGTGGTGGCAGGCGCCTGTAGTCCCAGCTACTCGGGAGGCTGAGGCAGGAGAATGGCGTAAACCCGGGAGGCGGAGCTTGCAGTGAGCCGAGATCGCGCCACTGCACTCCAGCCTGGGGCACAGAGCAAGACTCCGTCTCAAAAAAAAAAAAAAAAAAAAAAAAAAAAAAAAAAAAAAATTATATGCACAGCATAAACCAACTTTTATTGAACATATATATGTAAGATAGTTGCTATTTCTTCCTTAACTGTTTAGTACAAGTTGGTGAAGCCATCTGGGCTTGGCATTTTTTCGGAGGAAGGGTTTTAAATTATGAGTCAATTTATTTAGCACTTAAATAATTATGTATTAACCTTTTCTTGTGTCAGTTTTGATAAATTGTATTTTTTCTAGGATATTTATACATTTTATCTATTTGGCATAAATGTGCTCAAAATATCTCCCCCCAACCACCACCACCTTTTTTCTTTTTCTTTTTTTTTCTTTTTTTTTTTTTTGAGACAGAGTTTCACTCTTGTTGCCCAGACTGGAGTGCAATGGCACAATCTCGGCTCACTGCAACCTCCGCCTCCTGGGTTCAAGTGATTCTCCTGCCTCAGCCTCCTGAGTAGCTGGGATTACAGATGCTCACCACCACGCTCGGCTAATTTTTTATAATTTTAGTAGAGACGGGGTTTCACCGTGTTGCCTAGGCTGGTTGCAAATTCCTGAGCTCAGGCAATCCACCCGCCTCGGCCTCCCAAAGTGCTGGGATTACAGGCGTGAGCCACCGTGCCTGGCCTCTTTTTTTAAAAGACAGGGGCTTGCTCGTTTCCAGGGTAGAGTACAGTGTTGTGACCATAGCTCACTGCAGCCTTGAACTCCTGGGATCAAGTGCTCTTCCCACTTCAGGCTCCCGGGTAGCTGGGACTACAGGTGTGCACCACCTGTAGTCTGGCTAATTCCTTATTTTTTTGTAGAGACAAGGTCTCACTATGTTGTCAGGCTTGTCTCCAACTCCTGACCTCAAGCAATCCTCCTGCTTCAGCCACCCAAAGTGATGGGATTACAGGTGTAAGCCACTGCACCGGGCCCAAAATATCTTTTTATTATAGTCTGAAATATCTAGGTGGTGGCTCCTTTTTCATTTTGGTTATTTGTTCATTCTGTTTTATTATTTACATTTTATTATTACATTATTAGTTACATCCAAAAAACAGAAAGAGATGCTACATGCTCCAACAACGTATGTGAGGTTAATTCATCTTTGATACCAAAATTTGACAACAGTATGAGAAAACAAAACTGAAGGCCAATCTCATCCACAGTGATGGATGTAAAATCCCTAAACAAAATATTCAGAAGCTAAATCCTGTCATATATGTAACAAGGATAACACATCAACAAGTGGGTTTATTTCAAGAATGCAAAGTTAGGCTAGGTGTGGTGGCTAACACCTATAATCCCAGCACTTTGGGAGGCCCAGGAGGGCAGATCACTTGAGGCCAGGAGTTTGAGACCAACCTGGCCAACATGGTGAAACCCCATTTCTACCAAAAATACAAAAATTAGCTGGGCGTGATGATCCTCACCTGTAGTCCCAACTACTTGGGAGTCTGACACAGGAGAATTGTCTGAACCCAGTGTCAGGCCTCTGAGCCCAAGCTAAGCCATCATATCCCCTGTGACCTGCATGTACACATCCAGATGGCCTGAAGCAACTGAAGATCCACAGAAGTGAAAATAGCCTTAACTGATGACATTCCACCATTGTGATTTGTTTCTGCCCCACCCTAACTGATCAATGTACTTTGTAATCTCCCCCACCCTTAAGAAGGTTCTTTATAATTCTCCCCACCCTTGAGAATGTACTTTGTGAGATCCACCCCCTACCCCCAAAACCTTGCTCTTAACTTCACTGCCTATCCCAAAACCTATAAGAACCAATGATAATCCCACCACCCTTTGATGACTCCTTTTTCAGACTCAGCCCGCCTGCACCCAGGTGAAATAAACGGCCATGTTGCTCATACAAAGCCTGTTTGGTGATGTCTTCACACGGACATGTGAACACCCAGGAGGCAGAGGTTGCAGTGAGCTATCATGCCACTGCACACCAGCCTGGGCAACAGCGAGGCTCTGTCTCAAGAAAAAAAAAAAAAAAATGCAAAGTTAGTATAGTATTAGAAAATCAGGCCGGGCACAGTGGCTCACGTCTGTTATCCCAGCACTTTGGGAGGCACAGGTGGGCAGATCACTTGAGGCCAGAAGTTCAAGACCAGCCTGGCCAGCATGGCAAAACCCCTTCTCTACTAAAAAATATGTAAAAATGAGCCAGGCGTGGTGGTGCATGCCTGTGGTCCCAGCTACTTGGTAGGCTGAGGCAGGAGAATCACTTGAACCAGGAGGCGGAGGTTGCAGTGAGCCAAGATCGTGCCATTGTACTTCAGCCTGGGCGACACAGTGAGAGACTGTCTCAAAATAATAATAATAATAATAAAGACTACTAGAAAATAGCCGGGCATGG